CTAAACATGCAGAGCTTGTTAGTTGTTTGTCTAGTGCATTGTTGAGCAAGTTTTCTTTATATTTATCTTCAACCTTGCACTATCTTTGAGCTGATTGTTCTCTGAAAATCCTTTGAGGTTTATTTCGTTTTAATCAGGTTGCATTATACTTTGGTAAGCTTAAAAATACATGTTACCCTTTGTTGTCTGAGCTTTGTTGGAATGTGTTTCCTTGAAAATGCTTGATGGGATTTTGAGCTGTTGGAGCTAAAGTCGTCTTCGGTGTTGAAGCCTAAGTGGAGCTCAAGGCTATCCAGGTGGTTTTCCTGGTGTGAAGCTTGCTGTGGTAAAACGAGTTCAACCAAAGGGTGAAGTTGAAGTGTTGAACAACATGGATTTTTTACAACTGATGTTTAACTTAGGCTTTGTATTGAACTATAATGTTTATCATAGTGAATATGCTTCATTTGGACTTGGTCCCATAGATGTAGGTATTTAGCTAAATCATGTTAAAATGATTTATGTGCTTTACATTATGTTATAGATGTTTTAGTTTATCTGATGATGAATGAACAAACCCACATCTATATGACCATGTTTAACCAATCCATTTAAGTTTAATGAACCTGGTAAAGTCATAAAACTTTCCTATTTCAATATTTTTTTTTTTTTTGGATTAAAGTATAACCTTACTAAGCCACTAGATTGTGCTGTAGGCCTACATAATGAGCTTTGGTCCCGACAAATGAAAGTTTATGGCATATTGTAAAGTATTAATTAGAATGAGATAATCCCGCTTTACTATTTAATATTCCCTTCTCTTTTGATACTCTATTGTATTGTAAAATGATTCATTCTTGAAATTTGGCATCAACGATTTGAGAATACAAATTTTTTTAATGTAAAAATCAAGAACGATGGTCTAATGAATTGAATAATGCAGAGTTTTTAAAGATACAATAAAGTTATTTATCTTTTTTATTGAACACAAATCATACTTTTATTTTCGTTCAGGTAAAGCTTATAGCAGAAGAAAAACATGATCTGAAAACCAATGACTTATCGAAAGAAAATAATTAGATTAATAGTACCAAGTGCACGTAAAATCTTTTCCTTATTAACAAAAAGGTAAAATTAAGAACACACATGCATTAATTGCAAACCTTTGAAAAACATTCATTTAGCTAAGGAAAGATTAAAATTGACAGAAACAGATTATTTAATTACAAAGTTTCACTTTCTTGCCCTCAAATTAACCCTAAGAGACATATAAACATAAGTATGCAAATTAATTCGAATCTGTAAACTGGTATAAACGTATCATCTTTCGACATTCTTTTCTTTATCGTGCGACACGCCCATCAATCTTAACCATTCAAATGAACAGAAAAAAGAGTAACTCAATCACCAAAGTCCAAAGCACCAAAGAGGAAGATTCAGGAACTAAGGAGGAGGATGCTCCACCCTTCTTGCGCTTTGGACGAAGCGTATCTCCACCACCATAAACTCCCTTGTTCGCTTTCTTCATCTGATGAAAAACTTCCTTTCCTTTTCCAACATTCCCCAAATGAAGAGCTTCATACACTCCTTTTGGCTTTGATTTCATAACTTTGCTCCCAAACCCATCTGCACAAATAAGAATATGTTGTTATTGCTTCATTGTAGATTAAGAAAAATATAATACAAAAGTAAGAGATAGTTCTCTTGTTGAGCTGTTTTTCTTCGGCTAAGTGATTGGATATACCAGTTGCTTTTGAGGTCAGAGTGCTTTCAGAAGAAGAATATGGAAGCGCTTTACAGCAAATTAAGAAGATGAAAAGCAATACAGATAAAACCCTCTTCATGCTGGCGACTTCCTAGAGGCTTAATTAAGTAGCTAGTTGAGTGTTCTAGGGTTTTTATTTGTTAATTAATTAGATAGCTTTCATGTTTATTTATAGGGTGTCTTTTAATTATGATCAGGGTTTTCATTGGTGGTATGAGAATATAATATAAGTAATTAATATTATATTAATTATAGAATCAAATGCCATCATGTTGTCTTTGAACAAGAATCCAAAGAGAAACTAACGTCCAATGTCGGGCAATTATGCAATCTTTTTCCTTCCTTTTCTCTCTTATTTTCCTTTGTCATTCATCAATCTTTTCCAAATTCAGCATGGAGCTAGCTAGCAATTAAGAAAAAGTTTATACCTTTTGGAGGTGACAATATAATCAAAGTTCTTTCGGTGAAAAATTCTAGAAATAATTAATTGAAAAAAAAGAAAAATAGACAAGACAAAGAATATTATGAAGAGAAAGGGACACTTCTTTAATTCTTTTTTCACAGAATCTATTCACTTTATGATTTTTGTTTATCGACCTTTCCGCTCCATTAATGGTTAAAAGTTGAAAGGAGATCTAGTGGCTCTCTTTTTCTTGAATTACGTTAAAAGGTCTAGCTTTTGAGTAACTTCTCCAATACTTTATTAATGAATCTTACAATTAATAATAATGTAAATGTCTTGAAACGAATTAATTAAATTATTTATGTTTCAAAGTTTGAAAACATTTGATTTGTTCTTCACATGTACACTCAGAGGATTGAATTGATTTTTCAATTGTTTTTTTATAAGGTTTCAAAATTAATCTACACATCATCAGGTGATGTGTTTTTCTGTTTTTGCCGCCTTCTATTATTAGAGTACATAGGATAGATCATTAATTATTATACTATTAGTCTGTTAATAATTAAGATCCTGTGAAGCAAAAGATAGATATCTTGTGAAAATTATGTATAACAATTGTAAGTTTTAAAAATGTTACCAAATAATTAAAGCTTATGCAGAATGGGTTGTTTGTTCATATTGTGCATAAATTTGGTTCAAAGCATAAATGAAACATCCATCAAAGCAAGTAAAGAACATACTCATTTTTACATGATTTGACAATATGCCTATATCTATGGGACCAAGTCTAGAAGAAGTAAATCTACTATGTAAACTTATGAGTTCAAATACAAAGCAAAAAAAGCGTAGTTGCAAAACACTCCCTATTCTCAACACATCTTCTCTTCTTTAATTGAACTTCAAGCCACCATAACAAGCTTCACACACAAGGCCACCAAGTCGTACTTGAGCTCCTTTAAAGTTTTAATAGCGAAGGATCAACTTCAGAACAGTAGTTTGCACACATCCAAGCATCAACATGGAACCATGTTCCAGAATCGTCATAACAAAGACAATGTAAGAGAAGGTAATTTTAAGCCTACCAAAACATTTGAAAAACCTTAGACGAACACAAAAATCTCAGAGGATATTCAATGATGAATTAGAGGCAATAAGGTTTCTTAAAGAAGACGTTAGAAAAGTATGAATATATAGAGAACAAAGCACTAAGGGTTAAGGGACAAAAAAGTTAAAGTAAAACTTTTGTGTTTGGCTTTTTGCAAAAGAAAATTTAGGACCATACCCAAAAGCAAAACAACTTTTCTTACACAACGAATTAAAAGAGGACAAATGGAAATGTACCATAACAAAATATCAAGAATGGAATATTTTTGTCTCAAATCAAAACAAGTTTTGTGAAAAAAATCTGTCAGATGCATTATGACCACACAAACTTTGAAGTGCTCACCCAATATAGTAGATAAACATGACTAGTGTTACACTACTAGAATCATAAGTTGGCAAAATAACTTACAACAATTTTAAACAATTCTTCTTTATTCATCATAATTACGAAGCTTCAATGTTATTAAGCTAGACGGTTTATGTTGTTTTGAAAGGAATCTATTACAAATTTTATTTTGATTTAATAATTTTGTGCAGTGAATGACCTCTCTCAAACCTATATAGAAAGCTACACCTAGTTCCATGGTTCGCTCTTGCTTTTTTTTTTTGTTTAATCTGTAAGATAAAATAGTGGAAATTCAACACTTAAATAATCACTGGATCACACGAAGACATTAGAACAATGAATCAACAAATTTAGGGTTTTAGGAATACCTATTTGAGCCATGATGTGTGCGAAAGTTGTTAAATCTCTGGCTGGTCTTCCGTTCTTGATATGGCACTCAATGACAACTTTCAAATGGGTAAAGAATACGTTCCTTAGTTTTGAAGAGAGGACCTAACCAATATATAATCTTTTACTGGTCCCTCCCATCTCGGCAGCCAGCACATGGCAGTGGTGGTCAGTGGCTAGTTTTGGCTATGTTCTTGGGTAATTTGGTGGAAGTATAAGGGTAATAATGTTTTAAAAATCTTATGTATAAGGATAAAATAGCCCATGAATATTGTTGTAAATTTTGTTAGAACAAGAGAATTACTGTCCAAAATTTTTATTAATTAGGGGTAAAATTGTAACAAAATTAAGATTACCAAGTAATCTTAGAATCTCTAAGAAAATAATGGTATTCAGATTACCATCTGTATAATCTATAGTAATTACTATTGATGATTACTGAAATTTTTTATTATTTAACAACAAAACATGATAATGTTATGAATATAAGATGATATTACTAGAGTAACGAGGGATTATCCCCAATCAAACACACCCTAATTAGAATGAGATAATCCTGCTTTACTATTTGATATTCCCGTCTTTTGATACTCTATTATACTGTAAAATGATTCATTCTTGAAATTTGGCATCAACAATTTGAGAATACAATTTTCTTTTATGTAAAAATCAAGAACAACGATGGTCTCATGAATTGAATTCTACTGAGTTTTTAAAGATATAATGTACCCATATATTAGGAGTATTTCTGGTTAAAATTTATATATTTTCTTTTATCTTTTTTATTAAACATAAATCATCCTTATTGAAGGAAGTGAGCTGGGTATTGATATCTGCGAGCTCGAGCTCACGACCTGAGAAGAAAGTGAATTAGTTACAAGTAGAGCTGTAATTAATTGATAGTTAGTTAATTTTTTTTTTTTTTTTAAATAATAAGACTAATTAAGAATATTACCAAGTGCATGTAAAATCTTTTCCTTCTCATTAACAAAAAGGCAAAATTAAGAATACACACACATATACACGCAACACAAGTTCACAAATTGATTCGAATCTCCAAACTGGTGTGAACGTATCATCTTCTGACATTCTTTTCTTTATCGCGTGACACATCCATCAATCTTAACTATTCAAATGAACAGAAAAAAGAGTAACTCAATCACCAAAGTCCAAAGCACCAAAGAAGAAGATTTAAGAACTAAGGGGGAGGATGCTCCACCCTTCTTGCTCCTTGGACGAAGCATATCTCCACCACCATAAACTCCCTTGTCCGATTTCTTCATCTGATGAAAAGCTTCCTTTCCTTTTCCAATATTCCCCAAATGAAGAGCTTCATGCACTTCTTTTGGCTTTGATTTCATAACTTTGCTCCCAAACCCATCTGCACAAATAAGAATATGTTATTATTGCTTCATTGTAGATTAAGAAAAATATAACACAATAGTAAGTATAGCTAAGAGATAGCTCTCTTGTTGAGCTATTTTTCTTCGGCTAAGTGATTGGATATACCAACTGCTTTTGAGGTCAAAGTGCTTTCAGAAGAAGAATATGGAGGCGCTGTACAGCAAATTAAGAAGAAGAAAAGCCATACAGATAAAACTCTCTTCATGCTAACGGCTTCCTTGAAGCTTAATTAAGTAGCTAGTTGAGTGTTCTAGGGCTTGTGTTTGTTAATAAATTAGCTAGCTTTCACGTTCATTTATAGGGTTTCTTTAATTTTGATCAAGGTTTTCATTGCTGGTATGAGAATATAAGATAATTAATTAATAATCATGTGATTAAATTAAATTAAAGTAATTATAGCATCAAATGCCATCATGTTTGTCTTTGAACAAAAATCCAAAGAGAAATTAAAGGCCAATGTCGGGCAATTATGCAATCTTTTTCGTTTCTTTTCTCTCGTATTTTCCTTCGTCATTAACATGGAGCTAGCTAGCAATTAGAAAAAAGTTTATACCTTTTGGAGTTTACAATAAGCAAAGTTCTTTCTGACAAATGCTAGACATAATTAATTTAAAAAAAAAAAAAAAGATAAATAGACAAGATAAAGAATATTATGAAGAGATACTTTTTTTTTATTATTATTATTTTTGTTTCAGAGAATCTATTCACTTAGCCTTTTGCTTTTATAAATTTTACTTATCCACTTTTCCTCCAGTAATGGTTAAAAAATTGAACGGAGATCTAGACTCTAGTGGCTCTCCTTTTCTTGGATTATTTTAAAAGGTCTAGCTTTTGAGTAACTTCTCCAATATTGTACTAATGAATCTTACAATTAATAGTGTACATGTCTTGCGGTTGTGTGGTCAACGAATTTATCAAACTATTTTATGTTTCAAAGTTTGAAGGCATTGATTTTGTTCTTCACATGTACACTCAGAGGAATGAAATGATTTTTCTGTTTTTGCCCTCTTCTTTTAGTAGAGTACATAGGATTAATCATTAATTATGCAATTAGTCTGATAATAATTAAGATGCTTTGAAACACAAGATTGATATCTTGTGAAAATTACATAACAATTTTAAACAAGTCGCCTTTATTCATCATAACTAGGAAGCTTCAATGTTAAAACACTAGAGGGTCTATGTTAGTTTTGATTGGATCTATTAGAGATTTTATTTTGATTTAATACTTTTGTATAGTGAATGACCTCTTTCAAACCTATATAGAAAGCTACATTGACTTTCCGTGGTTCGCTCTTGTTCTTGTTGTTTTATCTTCTAATAGTTTGAATATATGAAGTACAATAAGTTTGGGTTCTTTCGAATTTGTATTCCCATAAAATTCTCTTATGAATACCTTAGGGCCTGTTTGTTTTACTTTTTTTTGCCTTATTCTATTTCTATCCTACCAAAAATATATATTTGTTTCCCTATTCTCAAAATCCAATCCGATTATATTCAACTATTTTTAAACCTCTGTAGGTTTGTTAATTTAACTAAACATCCTCAACAAAGAAAGTTTATAAATTAACAAAAAAACCCCATCCACATTTTCCAAATTTCGGCCACCACCATTGGAAGTAGCCGGAATCTGGCGAAATGGTGCACTATCGGCTGTATCTAGTCGGTAGTGTGCCAATCTATACTTTTTTGGCCACATCTACTGTAGATCTAGTTGAAAAAGGTCAGATCTACAGCCAAGTCTTTGGCCACATTTGGTCATCAATAATAGCTATATCTTTGGCCATCATTGGCGATCAAATGTGGCTAGATCTAGTTATCAATGGCTAGATCTGACAATAGATCTGGCCTTTTTCAGCCAGATCCATGGCCGATATGGTCGAAAAAGGCTATATCAGCACACGACCGGCCAGATTCAGTCTGTTGTGAGCCATTACGATAGATTTCAGCCACCTTCCGATGGTGGTGGCCAGAATCTGGCAAATGTGGGTGGATGGAGGTGTTTTTGTCAATTTCTAAAGTTTTTATTGTAGGGGCTATTTAGCTAAATTAACAAACCTAGGGGGTGTTTTTGTTAATTTTTAATTCTACCTCGTAATAAAAACCCAACTCTACTTTTTCAGAAATGCTACTCCAAATAATAAAACAAACACAGCCTTAGATTTTGTGAGTATTTTTATCAACTTATGAATTTTGTGTGGCTACATTAAGTTTTGATGTTAGGACATCATATTGTTTATGCGCAATCGTTTTTGTAGCTTTCTGTTGTCATGACACTTTGTGTTGATGTGCACACACTTAGTTAGTTTGTTTTTATTGTAAATCATGTGGGCACATCAAAGTCTAGAGTGGAGACAGTCACATAGTCAGATTTCTATTACACATGTTGTGTCTTCATTTGATGTTAGGATATTCTCTAGACTTGAGATATTTGTGAGTGGTCCATGTACAAATGTCAATAGCTCAGATGGTGTACTGAAATTCATTCAGCTTTTCAGAAGTGGTCCCAAGAAAGCAGGTGAAAACTTTTCCAAAATAGCTAAACATGCAAGAGCTTGTCGGTTGGTTGTCTAGTGCATTTGTTAAAATGGAAGCCTGAAACAATGTCGTTTTGGGTAAAGAAGTATGACGTTGTTTTAGACAAAGCAACCAGAATGAATCTAGACTGCAGGATGTACTCTAGATCTAACGGCCAGAATCAGTCTCTTAGTCAACCATATATAAACTCCTTTTTTGCGCAAAATCGTGTAACACACAGTTGGGGTTTTCTCTTTGTGCGATTTCTGAGTTAGGATTGTGAGTTCTTTGCAGATTGTTTGTGAAATCAGTTCGAGTGGTTAAGGAGATTAATCATTTGGGTGAGAGTGTTGTTCTCTCAGGTTAGGGATACTTAGTGGGTATCTTGTTAGGCTGATTGCAGTTTACATTTGTGTAGATCTAGTGATTGTCGATTATGTGTAATCTTGATTGTTCTTGATAATAGAAAAGGCAGCGAGCTCATACCGTTCCTGAGCTCAACATGGATAGCTTATCCATAAAAGGATAAGTGAACCACGGTAAATATTGTCTTGATTGTGGGTGTGTGATTTAATCTTGAATCTTGTTTGTGGTTTGTTTGTGTTGGCGAATTGATCAATTAGGCTTGAGTTCTAACAGCATTGTTGAGCAAGTTTTCTTTATATTCATCTTCAACCTTGTATTATCTTTTGAGCTGATTGTTCTCTGAAAATCCTTTGAGGTTTATTTCATTTTTAATCAAGTTGCATGGTAAGCTTAAAAATACCTTGTTAACCTTTGTTGTTTGAGCTTTGTTGGAATGTGTTTCCTTGATAATGCTTGATGGGATTTCAAGCTGTTGGAGCTAAAGTACGTCTTTGGTGTTGAAGCTTGAGTGGAGCTCAAGGCTATCTAGGTGGTTTCTTGGTGTGAAGCTTGCTGTGGTAGAACGAAGTTTAACCAAAGGGTGAAGTTGAAGTGTTGTGACAACATGGAGTTTTCTACAACTGATGTTTAACTTTGACTTTGTAATTGAAGTATAATGTTTATCATAGTGGATTTGCTTCGTCTGGACTTAGTCCTATGGATGTAGGCATTTGGCTAAACCATGTAAAAATGATTTGTGTGCTTTACATTATGTCATGGATGTTTAGTTTATCTTGATGACGAATGAACAAACCCACATGCACATATGAACATGTTTAACCCATTCTCATAAAACTTTCAGATTTCAAATTATTTTTTTGGATTAAAGTATAAACCTTATTTCTTTTAAGATTCTTATCTTATTGAACTATTAATCTTGACCTGACACTCCTCATCAACTTACAAACGAATACAGTAAAAATAAGCTAATATGAAAATGAACCCAACTTTGAATCGATAGGAGAGAAATGCTCACACTTGAAATGCTCAAATATTCCAAACTCCAAATAAGAAGTAATCAAGTTGCAATGTTCATACAGAAGCATCTATATCTCTTTAAACATGTTGACCTAACACTACTAACCCCTTAAAAGATTTAAAGGAAATAGGGAAAATCAAAATATAAATGTGGAGGCGTAAAAATCATGAATACCTTATATTTAGTGTTTAGAGCAAGATTAATTTGGAGTGTTTTACAATGTTCTTTCTTCTGATAATCTAGCACTGAGAATTTATTACGACATTGAATAGTTTTTATACTAGTCAAAGCCGAAAGACTTCTCTAGAAAATCACAGTATAGATAAGGGAAAAAAATTTGTGTAGGTTAATGAATCCTCTAAAACGGGTGTTTTCTATGGTTTATAAAAAACATTAATATTATTAGGATTATCTTTGAAAATAACTCATTGAAAGATGGCAAAGATTTTTGTTGACGCTTGATTTTGGACGCCAACGACTCGCACGTGAGAAGCGCTAAGCGGACTTAAGAATCACATGTGATAGATCCATGAGATTTGAATATGGAGCTGAGATTACATATGTTGCAAAAAACATAAATAAAAGATTGGCAAGAGGGGTTTTTATAGTGGTTCGGATGCTCAACAAGCGACTCCTATATCCACTGTTATTTTATTGATCTCTGACTATTTCTATGATATTGCTCGTAAGACATACAAATATGAAGAAATACAGTATTTACAGAGAGAGAAAGAATTGAGCTCTTAGCTATGGTTAGCTCTCATATGCCCAGCTCCCCCTCCCCCTTCGGGAAGAGAAGTGCCAATTTATACACCTAAACACTCAATGTAATAAGTGTTTTGCAAGTTGTCTTGACATATGGAAGACTCTCATCCATTCATTTCTTGAAAGGAGATAGGGTTGGTAAGAATATCTTTGAGGAGATATGTGCTTGGCAGCTAGTACAGAAAGACATTTATTAGGCTGACATAAGCATGACTTTTGAGGCATAACAGAAGCTCCCAAGTTTTTGGAGTGCGTAATCGCGCTTTAGAAACTAAGGTCTTTGATCTGAATGGCTGCAGTCTCGAACTGAAGAGCTCAAACTGAAATCTGTTAGGAGCACGACCTGAAATCTGTTAGGAGCTCGACCTGAAATATGTTAGGAGCTCAACTTGAAAACAAAACAAGCTCAATCTGAGATCAAAACGAGCTCAATCCGAGCAAATCAAGCTCAACTTGAGAGCAAAACGAGCTCAACCTGAAAGCTAAATGAGCTTAATTTGAGAGCAAAACGAGCTCAACTTGAGCAAAACGAACTCGACCTGAAAGTTCATAACGAGCTCGACCTGAAATGTCATAACGAGCTCTACCTGAGCA